ATTGGTATCTAAAATATTGGTGTCATATAAGCTTATTTATTAGAATACAAGATAACAGATCAAAAACAATGATAACAGCAACTATTTATTTTTTTGTGGCAGGGCCAGTAGAAAAAAATCCTTAGCGTTGATCCCTGCCCCTTTAATATTCACAGACACTAGTTCGTATCGCGATTCGAATTAAGTGGCAGTGGCTACTTTTGATTTATTCTTCTTTCTTTCTTTCTTTTTTTTCTTTCCCCAGAAATTCTTGTTAAAATTTTTCTGAAAATCAAATGAAGGCATTAAATTATTTATTTTAAATCAAATCAAAATTAAACCCTTTTATTTATTGGCAAACAAACTGAGCTTTACTATTGAAATTAATACATGGAAGAAAAATTGTGTGAATATTCCTTTAAAACATTTTTTAATAGGCTAATAATTGTATTCTTTTTTTCTACAATTACGTGATTAATCTAGTTGTAATATTTATTTTTATCATTTAATTGTTTTATTTAAATTTGATAGAAAATTGAATATTTAAAGATGTACATGTAACCACACTTCAGAACATTTCGGCTTGCCCTGTGTGTTGTTTGAACGAGTTGCAGGGGTGACCTCACATCACAGGGTCTCTCTCAGTACCGACGCAATTTTTTGTGCATGATTAAAACACCGCCTATGTACATACAGTAGCAAGACTTGTTTTTGTCATGATTTAACATCTTTACTCTACTGTATCGGGAGCCAATAGACCATAACAATATATATATATATATATATATATATAATCTCACATGCCTTACCAAAGGTCTCACACCGAATGCTGCAAAAACCAACCTACACCATTCCTAAAACAAATTAACTAGTAAAATTTAATAAAACTAAAAGCTACAGTCCTTAACCCTCTGGGGTCTGAGGGTGTTTTGGGGCCCTGGGGAAGGTTTGACATGCCCTGATATTTGTGTTTTTTTTCAGTTGCTTATAAACATATAAATGGCTAAAGCCTGATAACACTGTAATCAGCACAAACTGGGCTACAATAATATGCAGGGCTTAAAGTTCTCCGGCACCGTGCCGGCGTTTGGCTGCGGGAAAAAAAGATAGTCGTCCTACATTTAAAAAGACTTGTTGATATCATGTTCGAGTTCTTGAGTTCGCCTACCAATGTATGAGAGGAACACAGCTTTCACTCTCAACCAAACTAACATTACTAGCCAATCAGAAGTTTTTGCTCTTATAAACACGAGACGTGCATAATAGTATCCAATTGCGCGCAGAGTCGCAGCTGATGAATGGAAAAGAAGCTTGGGTCTGGAGCGCGACACATTGAAAAAGCTGCGAGGCGCAATGGTCAAAGATTTCCATCTAGCGTCATATTTACATAGAAAAGCTGGAATATTCCTTTAAAACATTTTTTAATAGGCTAATAATTGTATACATTTTTTTCAATTAATCACAATTAAGTGATTAATCTGGTTGTAATATTTATTTTTAATATATATTTAAATAATAATAAATATTTAAAGATGTACATTATACTGTACAAAAGTAATATAAGAGTAATATTTTTCTGTTACATGTTAAACCGTACTTTTATTTTTACAGGTTGCCATGAAGTTTCTGTGTGTATACAGTATGATAATGCTAGTTTTCTCAAATGAAACAGTACAATTCTCGTGAAGTGACTCTCACAGCAGCTCTGGAGATTAAGTTTTTTGGCTGCGGGAAAAAAAGATAGTCGTCCTACATTTAAAAAGACTTGTTGATATCATGTTCGAGTTCTTGAGTTCGCCTACCAATGTATGAGAGGAACACAGCTTTCACTCTCAACCAAACGTCTTAATGGTAATTTACCAGTAAATACTGTATGTGTAAAGGGGTTAAACTCTTCCTCTGTATATGCGGTGAGTTTGGGTTGCTTAATGTTCATCTGGGAATACTCACTTGATTTGTAACGTAAATCATTTAAACCTATGCCAACACAGGAGAATACATCAACATATTTC